GCGGGCCCCCCAGCTGGGAGCTGCCCCTCCGGGGGCCCCTTCCCCCCCCCCCCCCCGCGCGTTTTGTTTCGCTGACCGACCGGCCGGCCTTGTGTGGCTGGTGGACGTTTCCATTTCGTTTGCTGTCCCTCCGTGTCCCCCCCTCCCCCCTCCATCAGTATTTTAACACTTCCTAAGTGCCTTTTGATTGTAGTCTGTTGTTTTATTCTCTCTTTCTCCTTTCTCTTCCGTCATTGTTAGCATAGTTTCAAACAGAAAAGAGATAAGCTATGACCTCACCCTCTGCTCCTCCGGGAGAGAAGGTGTTTATCAAGGAAACAATAAACGTGAATCCGAAAGGTTCTGGTGGCTCTCTGCTGTTCTCCCTGGCGGGAGGAGGAAGGAAGGGTGGGCCAGCCGGTCTGCGGGGGCTTCAGGAGGAGGCAGAAAAGGCTGCTCTGTGCAGGGGGGGGGGGGGGGCGTGGTGGGGCGGGAGAGAGACTGCATGTGCCAAAAGGAAGGAGATCCGCACCCCCAGGGGCTTCCTTCAGAGGGGGAAACCAGCCTTGGATTTTACAAAACAGGAGCACTGACAGGTCAAGGTCCAAATTCCAGCATCAGAGAGGCAGCAGTTTGGAAGGTTGCTGTGGGGGGGGGGGGGGGAAGGGGGGGGGGGGAGAAGACTCAAGTTCTCACACATCCACAGCTGCCCAGCACTGAGCAGCAGCAGGAGGGGGGGACACCCACCCACATCACCTGACAGGTGCCTTTAGAAGAAGAAGAGGAGATTGGATGTATACCCCCCGGCCCTTCACTCCGAGCGGCTTACAGTCTCCTTTCCCTTCCCCCTCCCCACAACAGACACCCCGTGAGCAATGCTCCCTCTAAACTGTGGAGTCTTGTTGTGAGCAAAAATTCTTTGTGAGCGACTGACATTAAAGTTGTGAGCGAGTGACTTGGCTCCTGCAAAAATCAGTTTGCTCTGGGGCCATCCTTCCTGAGCTAAGATGAAAATGTGTGAGCTGGAGGCTAAAAAACTGAGCTAGCTCACACTAGCTCAGCTTAGAGGGAACACTGGCCATGACTCACCAAAGCTCCTCCCCTGGCAATACTCCCTCTAAGCTGTAGAGTCTTGTGAGCAAAAATTCTTTGTGAGCTCCTGGCATTCAAGTTGTGAGTGAGCGATTCGGCTCCTGCATAAATTAAGTTTGCTCTGGAGCCATCCCTTCCTGAGCTAGGACAAAAATGTGTGAGCCGGAGGCTAAAAAGCTGTGAGCTAGCTCACACCAACTCGGCTTAGAGGGAACATTGCCTGTGAGGTGGGTGGGGCTGAGATAGCTCTGACAGAAAGTGCTCTTTTTCAAGAACAGCTGTTGCCAGAACTACGGCTTGCCCAAGGTCATCCAGCCAGGTGCAAGTGGAGGAGGAGTGGGGAATCAAACCCGGTTCTCCCAGATTAGAGTCCAGGCACTTAACCAAGATGCCAAACTACACTCTGCTCCACCTAGGCCAGTGATGACGAACCTTTAAGAGACCGCGTGCCCAAACTGCGACCCAAAACCCACTTATTGATCGCAAAGTGCCAACACAGCAATTTAACCTGAATACTGAAGTTTTACTTTAGAAAAAACAGCTCATACATTAACTTAAGATGATCCAAACAAAGTAAGGAAAGCAATCCCAAATGCTTTCATTTACTTAAAATTATTTGGCAGAGAATTCCACACTTTAATGACGGTCTGGGCCTGGCTGGGGCGATGGCATGCGTGCCCACAGAGAGGGCTCTGAGTGCCACCACTGGCACCCGTGCCATAGGTTCGCCACCACTGACCTAGGCCCCCCACAGAACGTGACGCCCAGAGGCACGAGCTACAGAAGGGCAAATTTATTGGTTAGCTATAACTTAAACGGTGCTCGGAGGGAGGGGGTGTGCTACGTGTCCGGTTTGCGCTCTGCCTCTTGTTCATGCGGGGGTGACTGGATCTGCAGTTCGTCGTCCAGCCGCTCCTTGGCTCGCACCACCTGCAAGGCAGAGCAGTGTTGGCATGGCTGGCAAAGTGCACCTGTGGGAAGCGGCGGGGCAGCCAAGGCAGAACGCCTGCCCCCAGGTCCTGGCCCGACACCCTAGCTGCGACATCGCCCCGGACAGCCTTCCCTCTGAGGGTCTGCAGGGCTCCGATGACGGCAGCAGACACCACAGCCCCAGAGCCGTGGCTCCTCCCCTCTGGGGTCAGTGCAGCCCCCCCCCCCACTCACCTTGGACTGCAGGTAGAAGGAGCCCCCCACGGATTTGTCGTTCACTTTAAATAAATGCTCGTAGTTCTGCAAGGAAAAGCCAGGGAGACGGGCGCAGGTGAGAAATCTCCAGGCTGGCACGAATCACACAGCAAGAGCAGGACTGGGCGGGGGGCACCCCCCCAAATGTGCTCTCCCCAGCAGCGGAAGGGTGGGGGCCAGGAGCAATGCTCCCTCTAAGCTGCGGAGCCTTGTGAGCAAAAAGTCTGCTTGGTGAGCCACTGGCATGAAAGTTGTGAGCCAGCGATTGGGCTACGGCATGAGTCTGTTTGCTCCGGAGCCACATCCTTCCTGAGCAAAGGCAAAAATGTGTGAGCCGGAGGCTAAAAAACTGGGAGTGCGCTCACACTGACTCCGCTTAGAGGGAACACTGGCCGGGAGCCTTGTTATGGGGAGCAGCCGCTGTGAGCCCCCCCCCCCAGGCTGACCCTGAGCCTGTTCGCAGGATGGGCGGGGTACAAATATACCAAATAAATAAATACCTTCTGGATTTCCTCTGGGTTCAGTTCGGAGACATTGAGTATCCGCTGGGCCTCCTGGAGGCTGATCCCGGAGATGCTGGAGGCTGCCGCAGAACGAGACCCCGCGGAGCTCTCTCGGGCACCCGCGGCCGCTTGGCTGGCTGTGTGGGGATCAAGAGCACTGCTCGGAGCAGCCCCGCTTCCAGCCCCTGGCCGCAGGGGAGGGCTCCCGCCAGCAGAGTGGCCAAGGGGCCGTGTCCAGTGACCTGTCCCAGACTTCTCCGGGGGCAAAGAATCCCGGGGCTGTGCCCGAGGCACCCCCCTGGGGCCGCAGTGGGGCAGGGGGCAACCTCCACGCTGGCTGTCCCAGGCACAGGAAGAGAGAGACTGCGCTCTGGGGCTTACCTGCAAACTCCTGCCGCAGAGCCCGGGCAAACGCCCGGCCCACCACCTGCACACCCACCAGGACGATCTGGGCCAGGTACTTGGCCTGCAAGGGAAGCGCACCTGCTCAGGCTCGGCAGGTGGGGTGGGGTGGGGGGTCAAAAAGGGAAGGAAATTAAAACTGAAGAACATGCCCCCCCCCCCCCCCAGCAAACTCTGGGATGTCTTTGGGGCCCTCGAGAGCATGGCTGGCTCCACTCCTCGCCCCAGTCCAGAGCGGCTTTGCAGGGGGGGAAGGAACTTGCTGCGGGGGGCACCCCCCTAACCCCCCCTGCCCCACCTCCAGGGCGCCCAGAAGCCCGGCCAAACCCCTCGAGCTGTACTGGGTGCTATGGGGAAGGGAAACTGAGGCAGGGGGACCTGGAGGCTGGGGAGGGGCAACACAGGGGAAGGTCCCAAAGGCCCGGATCCCCTTTCCTGGCGGAGGAGCAAGATGGGGGGAAATCAGAAGCCAACCTCCTGGTGGGGCCTGGAGATCTCCCTGAATCAGACCTGGTCTCCAGGCCGCAGAGATCAGCTCCCCCCCCCCCAACAGCCACTTTGGAAGGTGGACTGTATAATATTATTCTCCTGTGCCCTGCTGAGACCCCTCCCTTCCCAAACCCCATCCTCCCCCAGGCTCCGCCCCCAAGTCTCCAGGAACTTCCCAATCTGGAGTTCAGGGCTTTAGACCCCGGACGCCTGGGTCCCCTTTCCCGGAGGAGGGGCAAGACATGGGGAGAGCAGTGGAGGCCTGGGCCCCTTGTCCTGGGGGGTGGGGAGACACGGAAACCTCAGACGCCGGGGTCTCTTGTCTGGGGGAGGGGGGGAGACTTCAGACGCCGGGGTCTGTTGCGCGGGCGGTGGTGGTGGTGGGGGGGGCAAGACATGGGGAGGCTCCGGGCCCCCGGCCGTCCTTTTCCTGGCGGGGGAAGAGGCGGAAGAAGGTAAGACTAGGAGTGCGCTTGCCCGGGCGGGGGGTGGGTGGCTGGCGCAGGGGCAGACGAGCCACGAAGCGGACGAAGCCACACGCTGGGGGCACCCGGGCGGGCCAAAGGGGGCGCCACACAGCTGGGGGAAGGGTGAGAAGGGACACGGACCCAAGGAGGAGTGTGCGCCCGAGGGCCACCTTCTGCTTCTTGGCTGGCGAGGTGCGCGGGGTCACTGGTGCCAGGGCTCAGGGCACCCACCAGGGAGCCTCCACCCGCCCCTGGGCCGAGCGGGGGGTTGGCGGCCGGAGGCCGTCGCGGCAGCCGCGGCGCTCTGACCCGCGAAGGGCGTCACGTGTGAACGCGGCCTGTCGCCTCCTCCCGTGTAGGGTTGCCAGGAGACTTGGGGGGGGGGGGGGATCCGTGTTGGGGGTTACAAGTCAAAACACTTCAGTATTTACAGAGTTGATGATGTTTGTTAAGTCACATGTTTGTTTGTAACCAATCTGTTTAGACAATAGGATGCCCGGGGGAACTTTGGAGCTAGTTTGCTAGTCTGATGGGAAACCAAGGTGTCAAGTATTTAGCATATTGGCTTCTCCTCCCGTTCTTTGTTCTGACCAGAGAAGGAGACGCCATTCGGCTCTTCCCGTTTTACCTTTTAGCTGCAAGGATGTAGCCATACTAGCTCTTTGTTATTTTCATATCCTGTGTACCCTTTTCCCATGTTAGGTTTATAGTAAACGTTTATATTTTAATACTCACCATGGACTCAGTCTCTTAATACTCTGCTGACTTACTCAAAAGAATCCCAACAATCCGGGAGAGGGCGGGGTCTGTGTCAGCTGGAGATCAGGTGTGAAAGGGGGAGATCCCCAGGCCCCACCTGGAGGCTGGCAACCCTAGTCCCTGCCTCCCCCTCCCCACGGCCTGAGCCGTGGAGTCTCTTGAGCAAAAATTCTATCTTGTGAGCTGCTGGCCTTAAAGTGGTGACCAGGGCTCCCTCTAAGCTGAGCCAGTGCGAGCTCACTCACAGTTTCGCAGCCTCCGGCTCAGCACATTTCTGTCTCCGTTCAGGACGGAGGGCTCCAGAGCAGACTAATTCATGCAGCGGCCAAATCGCTTGCGCACCACTCTCATGTCGGTAGCTCACAAAGCAGGGTTTTTGCTCACAAGACTCCACCGCTTAGGGGGAGCATTGTTTGTGAGTGAGCAGTTTGGCTTCTGCTTGAATTAGTCTGCTCTGGAGCCGCATCCGTCGTCATGAGCTAGGACAGAAATGTGTGAGCCAGGGGCTAAAAAAACCTGTGAGCTAGCTCACACTGACTCAGCTTATGGGGAACACTGGCCAGGAGCCCCTCCCCAAATGAGTGCAGTGCCCAAGCCTGTTACAAGCAGAGCTCAGCACCCCGCACTGAGAAAGGCAGCTTCTCCAGGTGCAACAAGAACTAGGGCTGCCAGGTCTGGCCTGGAAAATTCCTGGAGACTTTGGGGGTGGAGCCAGGAGAGGGCGGGGTTTGGGGAGGGGAGGGGCCTCTGCAGGGCAGGGCTATTTTGGGGCAGGAACGCACAGGAAAGGAGTTCCGGCTGACTCCCGAGTTGGCCACACCCAGCAGGAACACATTAGCATAATAGGCCACGCCCAGCAGCAGAAACTCATTAGGATTGGCTACATTCGGGGTGTGTGGCCTAACATGCAAAGGAGTTCCTGCTACAAAAAAGGCCCTGGGTTTTGACAACAAACAAGGTAAACAGAATAAGAAACAAAAGGTGGGTGTGGCTGGATGACCACATTTCTGGCAACACGGGGGTGTGGCCTAAGATGCCAATGAGCTGTGCTGTCAGGGGTGTGGCCCAATATGCTAATGAGTTCCTGCTGGGCTTTTTCTACAAAAAAAGCCCTGCCACAGGGTCCAAGGCCACAGAGTCCACCCTTCCAAGCAGCCATTTTCTCCAGGGGAGCTGACCTCTGTCAGCTGGAGGTCAGTAGTGAAAGCGGGAGATCCCCAGGCCCCACCTGGAGGCTGGCAACCCTAACGAGAACTAGGGCTGCCAACCTCCAGGCGGTGCCTGGAGACCTCCCGTCGTTCCAACTGATCTCCCGATGGCAGAGATCACCTCCCCTGCGGGAAAGGGCTGCTCTGGCGGGTGGACTCCGGGGCATTGTGTCCCACCGAGGAGCCTCCCCTCAACTATCTGGCGATTTCCCTCCTTGGCCACCCTCACACCCCTGCGAGTGTTGGACTGGAGGGGCCTTTGGCCTGATTCAATACTGGCTTCGCTTCTGTTCTTACCCCCCACACACACACACACTAGCCCAGAGTAGGAAACGAAGCTTGTCCTTCATCACTAGGCAGGGATGGGGGCAGAGGGGGACTGCTCCAGCCGGGCTCCTAAGAGAGGCCTTGTGTTACTCCCCATGGAGACCCCCCCCACACACACTTGCTGGAAGTGGGCCACGTGGCAGCCAGACCGTGATTGGCAGATGCAATGAAGCCAGAGTCCGGCCTGCTTTGCTTTGACTTCTGGCCCAACTGGGGTGGGGTGCGTGTGTGTGTGATGTGGCTTCCCACTCCCCTCCCCCTGGCTTGTGGCTCCTGAGGGCACGGTCAACGCCTGCCTAGGGGGCCAAGTTCATCCCTGCTCTGTAACTCCCCCCCCCCCCCCCCCCGGCCCCATCGCCTTCCGAGGAGTCCGTGGGCTTTGCTTTCTGGAGGGGCAGGGCGGAGTCCCAGGGGCCACCGATGGAGTTTCCGAGTGGGATGATGCTATGCCCGGGGAGGCAGCCCTGCCAGGGGACGAGCAACGGTGGTGGAAGGCCGGCCCTCTCTCAGTGGACAGAGCCGGGTCATGACCTCTAATGCTCCCTCTAAGGCGTGGAGTCTTGTGAGCAAGAATCCTACTTGGTGAGCTGCTGGCATTCAGGTTGTGAGGGAGCGACTGGGCTGCTGCCTAAATCAGATTTCCTCTGCAGCCACCTCCTTCCTGAGCGGAGACAAAAATGTGCGAGCCGGAGGCTAAAAGACTGTCAGCTGGCTCGCACTGACTCAGCTTAGAGGGAACACTGGTCCTGACGGAGCTGACCGGCTTGGCGGCAGTGAAGCAAGCGATGCTTTTCCGGGCACAGGACTGCTCTGGCGAGGGTCCCAGAGGCACAGCAGTGGATCCAAGTGTGGTGGTGGTGGTGGAGCCGGCCAGCCTGCCCTAGGTGGCGTGAGGGGGGCCATGCAAGTGTGGGGCAGACAGAAGGTGTGCCGAGTGGGGGCGGTGGCAGCAGGGGGGGGTCTTTTGTGAGGCGTGGGGCAGGCCAAGGCCAGGAAGGCCCAACCCCCCCCCCCCAACAGGTCGTGCTTGGGAGAAAAGGTCGTGCTTGGGAGAAAAGAGACACGAGAAAGAAAGGAAGACACAGGCCGGAGTCAAAGCCGTCCATTCGTGTTGTGTGGCCACGTACACAGCCCTGCCGAGACAGCCGCGGAGGAGGAGAGCGAGACACAGGCGGGCCCTTCCCCAGGCGGGCATTTCTGTTTCTGCCCCCGCGAACTGCCCTGCGAGCCAGAAGAGTCCTGCTTCCTGGCGGCGGCGGCTGCGGCGTGAGCAATGGTGGGCGAGGGGCTTCCCAGACCCCCAAGTCGCGGCCGAGCGAGGCAGCCCTGCAGGCATCAGGGGGCAGCTGGAGCTGGGGGGTGGGGGGCAAGCGAGGCCAGGGAAGTGGGGGGGGGAGGCAGCCTTCTGGCCACCGGCTCAGCCCTCCCCTCTGGGGTGGGGGCAGGAGAAGCGCTGGGGGCCGCAGCTGCAGAGCCCTTTTCTCATCCGGGGCTGGCCGCACAGCGCTTTGGGGGCGGGGGACAGACCGTGCGCGCAGGCCTGGGGCAGAGGGCGAGGGGCCCAGGCCGCCGGGCAGAGGGGCATGGCAGCAAAGCGGAGCCCGGGGGAGTGGGGGACAGGGTGGCAAAGGCAGGGCTTTGGCATCTCCGAAGGCGGCGGCAGCAGCCAGTCCCTGGCCTCCCAAGACCCTCTCTGGCTCTCCTGGCTGAGGCGGTCCCGTTTGTCAAAGCAGGAGGGGGCAGCTCCGGTCCAGGCAGAAAGGCGGGTTGTGGTTCCCCGGCTAGTCCTGTTGGGGAAGAGAAAGAGAGAGACAAGGCCGAGGTGAAGGGAGAGAGACCCTCGCGCTCCTTGGACGGAGGGGGGCTAAAAGTAGACGTGGACCCTCACCCCCCACCCCCAGTGTTCCCTCTAAGCTGCGTTAGTGTGAGCCAGCTCACAGTTCTTTAGCCTCTGGCTCACACATTTTTGTCCCAGCTCAGGAAGGAGGGCTCCAGAGCAGACTAACTGATGCAGCCACCAAATCGCTCGCTCACAACTCGAATGCCAGGAGCTCACAGAGTAGAATTTTTGCTCACTAGACTCCACAGCTTGGAGGGAGTGTTGGACAGGACCGCCCCCCCCCCCGGTGCAGCTCTCAAGCCGGCAAAGACCCGGCGGAGAAAGCACAGCCGCCTCGGAAAGGCTCCCAGCAAGACGGACGGGACCTACCCACTCCGCCTCGTCCACGCCTTCGAAGGAGTCCTGTGGGAGGGGGTCCTCACGGTTGCCCAGCTTGGCCACCATAGCGCTGAGCAGCTGGAAGAGAAGGAGGTCGTCACACGGGGGTCGTCCCCCCCCCACAGTGTCTCTCCTGCCCCCAGCCTGGGGAGAGGCCTCACCTCCTCTTTCTTCTGCTCGTCAGACTTCTCCTCCAGGTAGACAGAGGATGGGACGTATTTCCTGCTGGGAGCGTCCTTCGGGGCTTGGCTCACTGCAAAAGAGACACGCAGGAGCTCAAACGAGGCCCTCCCAGGCCCCAAAGATGCCAGGCTGGCGATAACCAGGGCCGGGGCCTTCTCGGTGACGGCTCTGTACTGGTGGAATGAGCTCCCGGAGGAGATCAGGGCCCTGAGGGACCTTTCACAGTTCCGCAGGGCCTGAAAGACGGGGCTCTTCCACCAGGCTTTTGATTAGGAGCCGCCTTAAACACCGAGTGACCCCGTGCCCCGGCTTTACCACCTTCAGCCTGTCTCGCCGCACAAATCAGTCGACCAAACTGAGCCGATATGAGAATACCACCAGGACTAAGTAGTGGTATGGTCTGGTTCCAGCACTTTAGGGAAATGGATAACCGGCTGTTTATGGTTGTTTTATGCATGATCTTAACTGTATCTATATTTGCATTTTTATGTAAGCCACCCGGAGCCTGGCTGGGCGGGGAGGGTATAAATCCAACTCATCAATCAATAAACAAATCTAGGTCCACCTGACCTTTGGAGTGCTTTCCCCCACCCCGGGATCCTTTCAGCCAGAGATTCCAGGGACGGGACTGAGCCCTTCCTGAATCCAGAACACCCACAGGGTTATTCCTCCCTCCACAAGCCCAGAGCCCGCCAGGAGAGCAAGTTGGCCTCGGTAGAACAGCGGGATTCGAGTCCGGCACCACCACAGAGACCAACAGGGGGGGGTTTGGGGGTGTGTGAGATTTCTGAGCCACGCCCCTCCCGCTGCCCCTGCCCCCCGCTGCTTCTCACCCGGTGTCATCCCTTTGGGCTGAAGGCTGATCTTGCGGTGTTGCCCGTCTGCGCCCCCGAGCCAGGCGGCGGCCGACAAGGCGGGTTCCCACCACACCTCCGTGTCTGGATAAAGGTCATCCTGGAAGAACTCTTTCTGAGGAGAGAGGGGGGGGAGCTTTGGTCCTCCTCCTAGAAATCGGTGGGGGTCCTTTGTCCCTCACGGGTCTCGCCACACAACTGCCCCACACGCCTCAAGTCTGCACAGAGACCAGTGGCGGGGCTGGGACGACCAATGCGCCCACATCTGCTCGGGGTTCTGGATCCAGAGGTGGCACTTCTCGGCCGTTGACAGGGTGCACACCAACGCAACCGGAGGCCTCCGCTAGCCCAAACGCCCTTCAACAAAAGCTCCCAGGAGAACTGCAGGCCGAACCGGACATGACATTTCCCACATGTCCGCACACTTGCGCCTGGCTCGGTTCGCCTTCTTTGCAATGCAAACTGGCGGGGGGTGAAACCCTGGAAGGCCCTCCTCGTTTCCCCAGCCCTGACTGGCCCACCCTGGTGGGACCCTGCCTGCCTGCCTGCCTTCCTTGGACAACTGCAGAGCCCGTCCCCGAGAGACGGGGGAAGGGCTGGTGGCTCATGGAGCTGAGTCGGTGCCGGGAGAGATTCTCCAAACCCGCAGCCGCTTAGGCTGGAAAGGGCGCCCTGGCAAGGGAAAGAAACGCAGTGTTCTCAGAGCCTGGACGGACCACAGGTCTGGGCCTCTGAAAAGGCTGAACTAGGCACGAGCAAGGCTCCCTCTAAGCTGTGGAGCCTTGTGAGCAAAGATGCTACTTTGTGTGCTACTGGCATCAAAGTGGTGAGCGAGCGATTCCTTTGCTCTGGAGCCCCCTCCTTCCTGAGCTGAGACAAAAATGTGTGAACTGGAGGTGGAAAAACGGTGAGCTAGCTCACACTAACTCAGCTTAGAGGGAACACTGGACACAAGTATACTCCTGCGGTACCTCTGAGTGTGCACATGGAAAGGGTCATGAATGGTTAAAATCATAGAGTTGGAAGGGACCTCCAGGGTCATCTAGTCCAACCCCCTGCACAATGCAGGAAACTCACAAATACCCCCACACACACCCGGGACTGCTATAGGAAATGGGTTCAGTGCCCAAGCCGGGACAGTTACCTGAGGGGTTCCTTCTCGGGTGACCACGACTGTCCTGTCAAGGGGTTACGCTGCAAGGCTTGTGTGGCGAGGCAGTGAAAGAGACACAGTGCAGTCTTGAAACTGGTTCCGCACTCCTGGAACAGGTTTGGGCTAGCCGGCAATTCTAGCCTCCCCCCACCCCCCGTCCAGCGCTGCACCCACCTACCTTCACCCTGGGCACGCGGAAGGCGATCGGCTCGATGGCGCTCTGCCTGAGACGCAGGGCCCGGGCCACCTCGACCTCACGCACGTCACACTCCGACTTGGGCAGGAACTGGAAACCCTGGAGAGGAAGCAGAGGGCAGAACCTTCTTCAGCACCCAGACAGACACGGCTCCACGCACAGAGCGCCTGCTCTCTTTCTCGCACGCATGCACACCACCTCTGGCCACGTCCACCCACAGCAGTGTGGATACACCCCTGGGAGGAAACCTGCAACTCCAACAACACAGCAGCTCTGCCTGTAGAGAGCCACTAGGGGGCAGGCTGTCAATACGGTTTATAGATAATAAGAACATGAGAACAGAAGAGAGAAGCCAGTGTTGGATCAGGCCAATGGCCCCTCCAGCCCAACACTCCATGTCACACAGTGGCCAAAAATACCAGATCACAGACACTGGATAGGAAAATAGATTTTCCTTTCCGATGGTGCAACCTCATTTGGAGTACTGTGTACAATTCTGGTCACCAGACCGCAGAAAGGATATTATAGCATTGGAAAAAGTGCAGAAAAGGGCAACTAGAATGATAAAAGGGTTGGAACACTTCCCCTAGGAAGAAAGGTTAAAACGCTTGGGGCTCTTTAGCTTGCAGAAATGACGGCTGAGGGGGGGACATGATTGATGTTTATAAAATTATGCCTGCGATAGAGCAGGTTGAGAAAGAGGTACTTTCCCCCCTTTCTCACAGTACAAGAACTCGTGGGCACTCCATGAAATTGCTGAGCCGTCGGATTAGAACAGATAAAAGGAAGTCCTTCTTCACCCAAAGAGTGATTAACACATGGAGTTCACTGCTACAGGAGGTGGTGGCAGCTACTACAAACATGGATGGCTTCAAGAGGGAATTGGATAAGCATATGAAGCAGAGGTCCATCAGTGGCTGTTAGCCACAAGATATAAATAGGGACTCTTGGTCTGGGGCAAGTGATGCTCCGTATTCTTGGTGCTTGGGGGGGGGGTCAACATTGGGAGGGCTTCTAGTGTCCTGGCCCCACTGGTGGACCTTCTGATGGCACCTGGTATTTTTGGCCACTGTGGGACACAGTGTTGGAGTGGATGGGCTGTTGGCCTGATCCAACATTGGCTTCTCTTATGTTCTTATAGATAAGCATATGGAGCAGAGGTCCATCAGTGGCTCTTAGCCACAAGGTATAGATAAGAGCTCTCGGTCTGGGGCAAGGGATGCTCCGTATTCTTGGTGCTTGGGGGGGGGGCAACAGTGGGAGGGCTTCTAGTGTCCTGGCCCCACTGCTGGACCTCCTGAGGGCACCTGGTATTTTTGGCCACTGTGTGACACAAAGAGTGTTGGACTGGGTGGGCCACTGGCCTGATCCAGCCTTGGCTTCTCTTATGTTCTTATGTTAGATCCAGGTGGGGCAGCCGTGTGGGGCTGAAGCAGCAGATCAGCGTCTGAGTCCAGTGGTGGCGGCACCTTTAAGACCCACGGAGCTTCTACCCAGAATAAAACGTGGTTGGTCTTAAAGGTGCCCAATTGGACTCCAACTTCGTTTTAGTGGACAGGAAAGGGCAGGATCTCCAGGGGCCAACCTGAGACACACACCCCCTTGCCCCTCCGGTAGGGGCCTCTTCCCCAGAAGGAGGCAGGTCACTTAGAATGCTGCCAAGCCAAGGGATGCAGTTTTGGACTTGACACCCTTCCCTCTCCGCAACATCCCTGCTGGATCCGGCCTTCCCCTCCAGCAGCCTTTTCCTGGCCAGAAGCCAGGCACAGAGGAAAAAGCCTTTCGCTGCCGTTTGCCCTACATCAGAGAAAGTGCCTCTGGCTATGGAGGTTCCACTTAGCTGTTACGACCCACCCAGGGATGCTCTCTTGGGGGGGGGCATTTTCCTCTTAGCGCCCGACCACATTCCTTGTCAGCATTCTTCTTTTTGTTTTGTTGTAAGGCAAACGGCAAGACCCGTCTACACAAGGAAAGCGGAAGGCATGGACTGCGTCACTGGACGCCTCCGCTATCAAAGGGCCTGGTGGGGGTGGGGGTGAGTGGGGGGGGGCGATGCTCCCTCTAAGCTGTGAAGTCCTGTGAGCAAAAATGCTGCTTTGTTTTTTGTTTTTAAATTTTTAATTTTAAAACACATCACATATATCCTGTTTTGTGAGCTACCGACCGGCATTAAAGTTGTGAATGAATGATTTGGTTCCTGCATAAATCAGTTTGCTCTGGAGCCCCATCCTTCCTGAGCCAAGGCAGAAATGTGTGAGCCGGAGGCTAGAAACCTGTGAGCCAGCGCACACCAACTCAGCTTAGAGGGAACACGGGCGGTGGGGAGTCGAACGCTCCTTCCTCTGGGGCCGCCCTCTCTCAGCCGAGGTCTCCCGGCTCCTCTGCTCGGCTGGGCCCCGCCTGACCCCTCACCTTGTGGGGCTCGTGGGAGAAGAAGCTGTTGCACTCGAGGAAGAAGGGGGCCTCTGGGATGGTCTCGTACACGAAGACTCGGGTGTCGCCCTAAGAACGTGGCAGAAAGGAGAGGCTGGAGCCCGCCCAGGAGACCCCGGTGGCAAATCCGGCCAGCCAGAGAGCGAGACGACACCGTGGGAGACGAACGGGGCCGCTCTCTGGTAGTGCCACAACTGGAGACTGGGCGGCTCCTGAGGAGAACCCCTCCGCCACAGGCCGCCAGGGGCTTCCGCTGGCCACTGGGGACCCTCAAGGGAGCGGGGCCCCCACCTCCCACCCGGCAGTCGTGAGCAGAGGATGCTGGGACGGGGGTCTGACCCCGGGGCCCCTAACCCCCTCACCTTGCCCGTCAGGAAGACCACGCCCGTGTCCGCGTCGTGGAAGGGGATGAGGGTGGAGGGTGAGACGTCGAGGCTGAGGCGTGCCAGGGGCCCCTCGGCCAGGGACTCCGCTTGGTAGAGGGACAGCTGGCGCTCGCTGTGGCTGAGGAGGGAGGAGAGGGAGAGCTGCAGAGACCCACCTGGCCCGGTGGGCCCCCGTGCGGCACCTAGGCCGGAAGGAAGAACCCCCCCCCCCCCCCCGGGACCTACCTGTCGAAGCCCGACACCAGCAGGTTTTGGCCTCCGCACACCCAGACGACGCGGGCCCCCCGGCCTCCCTCAGGGCCCGGACCCTCCTGTCGTGGGATGAAGAGACACAAGGAGAGGGGGGGAGCAACGAGGGGAAACACCGCTTGCCCTTGCTGCCCCCAAGCGCCTCTTTCTGGCCCCAAGAGGCCTCTCCACCAGGGCCAGCCCCACCCCGCCCCACCCCCTTTGCCTCCCTTCTTCTCCCACCCAAGCTCAGGGCCCACCGCGGCGGGGG